AGTTATAAAATCAAACATCATATTTCCAGGTCATGTGGAAAGATCATAGCCAAGGAATACACATGTGTGTATGTATGTGTATGTGTACACGTGTGTTGAGAGCAGAGAGAAAAAATGGAAATATTAGTGTAGCTAAGTCTCAAATAACACTGAACAAGATCTCCTTATCTTTTTCTCTGATGATCTGAATTTCTATAAATTTTTGTTAATCCATGGAGATATCAGAAATAATAAATGATGAGAGAGGTAGAAAACATAGAGAATATAATACCTTTGTACTACTAGTGATTGTCATGGAAAAAATAACTCTAGGGCTTTAAAAAATAATAGCCCTAGATGACAAAGCCACAGAGACCTCAGTGGAATCTGTTTGGGTTCTTTATTGCTGCATTAAACCTTAGTGGTTAAAACAACCATTCCATTTTGCTTTCAATTTTGTGTATCAGGAATTTGGATACACAATGTCTCTCATCCATGTGATGTTACCTCAGGTGGCTGAGTATGAGGGATCTATTTGTAATTTGTTCTCTCTCTCTCTCTCTCTCTCTCTCTCTCTCTGTCCTCTGTCTCCCTCCCTCCCTCCATGGTGTCTCATCCTCCACATGGGCTTTTGCTAATATGGCAGCCTCAAGGTGTTCAGAGTTCTTCATATTAGCTCAGGACTATATAAGACCACCACAGAAGCTGTTGATGCTCTTAAAGTTTAGGTCTAGATGTCAATTAGCAACACTTCTATCACACTTTGTGGCCCCAAAATATAACAGTGTATCTTCAAACAAACAATAATGTTCTGGGTGCTTATTATATGAAAAGCATTGTGAAGAATGCTAGAGCCTTCTATACTCAAGGAGAGAAAATACCACAGCTGAGCCTAGACTCAAAAGGAGGGCAAAAAGACTGTTGACACAAAAGGTGTTAAAGAATTTGCAGTCATCTCTAACTATAATATACTAATACATTAGATAACAGGATGGTATTCCATGTAATAAAAAATGTGTTTCTCTTTGGAAAACTTAAATTAATGTGAGATATAGATATATACATACATGTTCCAAGCTCAAAGGGGAAGACATAATTAAGAAAAAAATAGCTTTCTTTCTGTTTTGCTTGCTTTGAAAAAAATGTTCATAACAGGTAATGATTGCCTTCATTTAAACTGTTCCCAGAGGATTTTAATGTTTTTAACTCATTCCTTGGAGGGATCCTTCAACTCTTCTAGAAAAATACAGAGCTGAATCTTAGTCTACGCTCTCTTCCACATTTGAAGGGGGAAAAAAAGAGGAACCCAAAAGGCCAGATGAAATGGGAGCTTGGTCACAGAGAACAAAGCCAGTGTCAATAGTAGAACAGGTCAGAAGAGTGATGGCTTGAAGAGAAAACCCAGAATAACCTCCTGTAGCAGAGAAGAAAGTTGGGAAACTCTGCAAGGATAGGAAGTAGAAATGGAGAGCAGCCAGGACAACTAAGTTATTTAGCAGCACAGAGTAAAGACTCATCACAGGGACAAGAGTCCATGGACCAGACTCATCTGCAGGGACCCCAAATCTGAAGAATTATAATACAAAGGAGAGAACTAGGAAAGGTACCTTGGAACACCAGAACACTCACCCTGCGGTGGTGGCAATGACTATTCTGAGAAGTAGTCAGATTTTGTATATATGTGGTACCTAAAGCCAAAAAGTTTCACTGAGAGTTTGGATATGGGATGTGAGAGAAAAAGGGAGTAAAGGATGATTTTTTGCAGGGGAAAGATGAAGGGCTCAATTTTTAACATGCAAAGCTTGACCTACTTATTAGGTGGACATCTAAGTGGAGATTGCAATAATGAGGTGGCTGAATATGAGTATGGATTTTAGAGAAGTAACTTAGGACTAAAAGTCTAGCATATAAATGATGTTTTGCTCTAAGGCTGAATGAACTAACTCAGCTATAGAGTATGTGACAATAGAGAAAAGAAAATGTAGATTTTGAGGCCATAGGTACTCTAACAGTTAGAGATCAAAGAAGAAAGAGAAAATAAGAGTGAAATTTCAAAGAGGAGACAAGTATTAGTAGATTTGAAGAACATCACCAGAAAGATATAAAAATTGTAAGTTCGTATGGATCTAAAGTCATCAAAAATATATAAAGCAAAAATTAACAAAACTAGAAATTTACAAATCTAAATTACAGTTGGAGGTTTTAATGTACTTCTCTCTGTAGTGATAGAACAAACAATCATTATATCAGTAAGTATATGGAAGATATGAATTTGTATTAACAAATTTGATATAATTGACATTTAACAAGAAGGGGGCTAATTATAATACATTAAGGTACTGAATAAGTTTCTGAAAATGTAAATCTGCCTAAATAGCACAGGGAATCACCAGCCCAAATAATAGAAATGGCAGGTAACCACTTTTAATCCTTAGACTTTAACAGCAAGTGATACATGGCCTTACTGGAGCCCAGGAACTAGGACAACTGGTAGAAGCTGGACCTTAGCAGATCTGTTCAATGATGTCTGGAGTCACAGAAGAGACTGAGCTGCTGCTTAAGACAGAGGAAGGATGAGATATCCTTTTTTACCAACCCTCCAATATCTACTAGTGCCATTTCTGAACTCAACAAGAAGCTGATCAACAAGGTGATACCTGAGAAATGAAACCTGAAGGGATCATCCCTCCTGCAATACAGAGCAGAGCACAGATTAGGGCATAAAATGGTTGTGAGAAAAAACAAAGAACCAGCATGCCATATACAGTGATTTGTCCTTTATCTTAAAATCAATGCAGGATATTTGAAAGATTTTAACCCAAAGTCACAATTTAATTGGTATTTTTAAAATTTTACTCAATTTATAGTTTAAAGAACTCTGAAGATTGCATTAGAAAGAGAACTAGATGGTCATAGAAGAAGAGGTATGAGACCATTTCATTTGTCTTTTAATGGTGACCTTCACTAGAGTAACAGAAGAAAAGCAAGGAAATAGATTTGAAACTGATTTAAAAGGCAGACTTAAAAGGATAAGAGACTGATGTCCACATGAAGGAGAAGGGGGGAATCAAGTATGCCTCCCAGGCAGAATAGTTACAAGAAAGATAAGCTCAGTTTTGATGCTTGTGCGAGTCATCTACATGGGAGTCCAATGGACAGCTGATTATCTTGTCTGGGGTTCAGGAGTAGGATCTGAACTGGGATATATATTTAGAAGCCATCAGTATATACCTGGTATCTGAAACTAAGGGAGTAGGTAAGGCCACCTGGAAGATTATATATAGCATTAAGTTTGGAGAAATACCAGTATTTAAAGGACATAAGAAGAGACGTAAAACAAATTTAAAAATCAGAAAGAAGTCAAAGGAGATGTCATGTAGGAGAATGTGAAGGCTAGAAAGTACATCTCAGAAAGGAGTAGTCTGCTTGTATAAGAAATTAAGAAATCAGGGTTAGAACCCAGAAGTGGCCTTAGTGAGCATTATCTCTCTAGGGGTTGGGGAACAACTTGCTTGGGTTTTGTGATAAGGACCTGGTGACATCAAGTATGGATAAGCAGTATAAGTTTGGTTGGGAAAGAGAAATGGTAAAGGGGGAAGTGGTTAAAGGGAAGTAGGGAAGGCTCCACTGTACAATAAGAAGGCTTGATAAATTTTTGAGCAAGAGAATGACACAGGGGGAAAAAGACTGAGAATGTAATTTTCACCAGACTGTGAGAACATATGGAGTAGCAGATATATATCACACCCTCAGTTTCATTGCCCTGAGTGCTTACTGCTTTGACTCACAAAAAAAAAAAAAAAGTTGACATTAAAAGATCCTTCTTCTTCAAGTATATCCATGGGTCCCCAAATGCTGAAATGAACTCATCCGGGTCACCAGTTGCCACCACCTTCATCAGAAACACTCTCATGACCAAGCCCTGATTCCAATGAGTCTAAGCTAGTGCCATTTAAATCTCCTCATTCTCACCAGCTAGTCCTGGTTTCGAGGGTTACGGCTTCCAGGAAAGCACCCCATCATTGGTGTTGCTTCCATAAAATCTGGGACATGAGCTTGTTTAGCTGTTCATTTGTGTTGAGTCCCATTTGGCCTCTGCTGAATCACCCAGACAAAGACTCTCCTCTCTCCTACATAGCAACAACTGTTTCTTCCCCACCCCCACATGTGGTATGGTATGGTGTGTGTGTGTGTGTGTGTGTGTGTGTGTGTGTGTGTGTGTGTGATTCTGTAATGTTTACTGTTAATAGCTGCCAGTTATTAAGTACTATCTGTTGGCCAGGAAGTTCTTTATATTTTTTAACTCATTTAATTATCACAACAACCTCTGGGATAAATATGATTTCCATCTTCCCACTTTATAGCTGAGGAAAACAGGGAGATGTGACATAATCTGATCAAGATTGTAGATCTAATAGTTATAGGGATAGGATATAAATACAGGTAAGTCTACCATGGAGGCCAAGGTCATACCATCATTCCACCTGTCACTTGGACTTTGTGCTGAGGCTGGCACTGATGCCCACCAAACTCCTCTTCCCTTTATGGTATGCTCTGTTCACACTTCTTCCTAAAATTTGGCCATAGACTCCACCCCATCAAAAATACTTCATCAAAAGTATTTTGGTAGATAGTTTCATAGTAGAGGAAAATAGTCTCAATCTTTCAGTCCTCTGCAAATTAGTGGGCACAAATAGACTACAGAAAAGGAAGTAGTTAGTTCTACTCACCAGCAGTAGTTAAGCCCCAAATCATCCCGTATGTAGTATATCCAAGAATCAAGGCAGACTGTTACCTAACTGTTCCTACCAAGAACACAAGGACCAGAGCTCCTACCCAAACCAAATGTTCTGTTCAGCTGAATACTGATCTGACTGAGGTGTGTTGGATAAGCTGGAATCTCCCTTCTCACCCATGTAGGACTATCACTATACTGAAATGTCTGCTATTTTGTCTGTGAAGTGAGAGAAGAAAATTTGGGCCCACAGTAATCATGTTATATTTACCTTTTCTCTTTATAGGGATATTTCAAGAACAAGGATCCATTCCCTGCCTAGCTATGGCTTAGAAAATCTGAAGAAGCTGAGGGCCAGGTCGACTTATAACTTAAAAAAGCTTCCTAATCTGGAAAAGTTTGTCATTCTCATGGAGGCTAGTCTCACCTACCCCAGCCACTGTTGTGCCTTTGCAAATTGGAGACGGGAAATGTGAGTCTTCTTATGTGCATCCCTGAAGCCTGGCTTGGGCATTTCCCCTAGAACAGAACACAGTCTACAACTTCTACATGTGTGTGACATGAAGAGAACCCATGTACAGAGAGGGTCCACCGACTGAGTCCCAGAGTCATGCTCTGGATCAAAGATTCAGTTTTAGCTAGATATAATGGTGCACACCTGTAATTCCAGCACTCAAGAGCCTGAGGCAGGAGGATCATGAGTTCAAGACCAGCCCAATCTACATAGTGAGACCCTGTCTTGAAAAAAAAAAAAGTAATGATTCAGTTTTGCTCAGAATAAACTGAATAAAGATTCAGTTTTGAAAATGGGCTCACTGGAGAGGGATACCTCATGAAGTATCTACCATGTTTTCTTTCTTTTAATATAAAATCATCAAGCTTAGTGCCTGACTCATAGCTGACGCTGAACACTTTTTCCTCTTTCTTTTAAACCAATATGGATTCATCCTTCAAGTCTCAAACTCCATATCCCATAAATGTCCCATACTATTAACATCAAAGTCAACTTTAGAGAAGAGAAACAAAAATGTTGTACCAAAGACTTATGTACATATGTGTGCACATTCCAGCCACAATAAATCTCTCTAATCCACCTCCAGATCTTAACAACTCACAGGGAGGACAAAGATTGAGATACCTCTACTTTGTCTTTCAAGGAAGGCCAGTCCAGATGTTTAAAGAGGATAATCTAGACTAAGCCAAGTTCCAATATGTAACTGGCTAAAAAGCTGAGGTAATCCTAGACAAGATCTGGAGAGAGTAGAGGAGTGGTTTTGGCTATTATACATGTTCTAGACATTTAAAGGACCCTATTGGAGGTAAGAACTTACTGCATACAAGGAGTTCTCAGAGCTCCCAAACTCTCCTGAACTCACTAATACAACCCACACCATTTAATTGCACTTGATCAAATGATGATGTTTCACTATTAAATAGTGGACCCACACTAACACAGCTGTACTGTGGTGATAGTTCACTGTTTCAACAGTCTCCTCAGTTATTCAAACTTTAACATACCTTGAGCTGCAAATGTGGACATATCCCTTGCTCAAAAGCAAAACAATAAAAAAGCAACAAAACAGTTCATACCCTAAAATGTTTTCAAAGTAACTGAGAATACCCAGATCCATTTGAAGGATTTGCAGGAAAAAGGCTGCTTTTCAGAATTAGCATGCATCATTGGGAAATGATCCAGAAACAAGCACTCTTCACATATTAACCTAAGGGCCAGAGAATTTCTTCCTGACAAGTAGAGTTCTTAAGAGTTTGGGATGAAACAAAAGTCTTGAATTATTCTAGCCAGGGCAAGAAAGATACCAATTCACTGCCAAGACCTGCAACTGAATACCCCTTGGGAGAAATCTGAAAAGATGTTAAGATCACTGTAACAGAAGCTTGTGGCATGCTGTTTGGCTCCAAATCCAACATGCCATGGGAATCTATTATCTTACTGTGCTGCTCAGAGTCCTCTGGTCTTGCCACCTCCTCGTGTAGACTTAGCCTCAAGGCTTTTCCAACCAGAAATCTCAGGTCAGCTTAAGGTGCACCATGATATGAAGCTTTCTCTGATCCCTCCAGACCACTCAGCCCTCACCTCCTCTAAGTCCCTATTCTAACGTACCATCGGGGCCTGCTAGGGTGCAGCAGTTAGAGACTCACATTAGTTCCACAACATACCAAAATGTGGGTGCTTACATTTAAGAAATTCACAAACACAATCCAAAAGAGTTATGTTTCTCAAGACAGAATCTCAAAATTTATTCCTAAAATAGTGTCATTTCATTGTATATCATATGAGGCATAGTTTGGTAATGGGATTTTAGTTTAAAGTTGTATGTGAAATTATTCTGTTCCTCATTTGGGAATAATGACCATAGCATAAATATGACGCCTTTGTTACTGTGAGATATTGGCTAATGGCTCTTGGACTCTTGTGAAAAGGTTGGATCAACTAGACCCCTCATTTGTCATTGAACCAGATATTTTCTTATTATAGTTCTATATGCAATTTGCTTTATCATGCTATTATTTTATTTAATTTTTCTTATATTTAGGCTGTTCATTTACAGTGAGATTTTAAATTGATGCACTATGGCATATGTTTCAAAATAACAACACAAGAACCCATATTGCTGACATTTGTCGAATAGGCACATAATACCTTGCACCTGTATCTCTAATATTACAAAGGTAATATCATTACCATTATTAATTCTTGTCCCTTCTATCATGGGTAGTAACTGTGGCTTAGAGATACTGAGTAACTTGATGAAACACTAACCAAACTCAGATCCAAAGCCTGTCCCCAAAGTGCAAGCTCTGGGACACTCTGATGTGCCACCCCTTAAACACCTGTTGATTGACTGACCGAGGTCCATGAGTACCACTTTTAAACTGGCCCTTATCGTGCCTAGAATTAACCAAGGTACTGCAGAGACAAGACTTCGTTTCCCTCGGTTCTATCTTTATTTCTGTGCTTGTCTCAGAGACTTACATTGTTTACCTGTCCCCTCACCTCATGTCAGTTTCAGGAAAGGGAGACATCATTATTTAGAATATGTTGGTTGCAGCATCAACAATAGGAATCCTTCCAGCAATGCCCCAGGAAGAGAAGGCTATCTCTAGATGGCTAAGTCAGAACCCAGTCCAATGAACCAGATGGCAATCAGCCATCTGTTCCTTCAATTGGGTTACGGCTAATCCACTAATTGGATTTAGGAGTCACAAATTAGGCTAAGAACCACAGAATGGCCCTTTTGTCTCCTGGATGCCCATCTTGGAGTTTGCCTCGCCTTTCTTTAAGTTTACCTATTAAGCCAAAAGATTTTCTGGACTCTAACTCCACTCACTTTCAATTACATGTGTGTGTATTGTTTAGTCTCAGTGCAATCTATGACTGACTTGAAAAGCCCTCTCAGTTTCTAAAACAAAAGATGACACTTTCTTCAGCAAAAGGAAAAAAGAGAGAATAAGAGAAAAAATCCTAGGGCCAAGGGAAAATGATTTCATGGTGATTCGGTTAGCTTCCCAGAGGTGAGAGAGGGCAAGACACGGTTCTCTCTCACAGCCCCTCCTCAAGGGGGAGATGAGGCAAGTTCAGCCTGGGTATGTCAGACATACAGCACTCAACCTTTGGAATCAAATGGAGGCTTTACCTCCTCCACTCCTCTAACCACCTGTCTCTTTCTTCTGAGGGCTTTTGAAGGGTTTTAATACTCACTTCCCTGCTCTGTGAGATTGTGTTGATGTTTGAGAAAATGCTGTTATTTAACATTACTGTGAACTTTTTCCTTGGGGAGAGAGGGAGAAGTAGGAATATATGTGCATGACTTTTTCCATTCAAAAATGCTCCCAATGTGAAATGGTCCTTAAATCTTTGCTTCAAACCAGAAGTATTACCCTCCGTATCTCCATACAGAGTATTAGTAGAATATTTATGCATAAACTCATGGGTTGAATATTGTCATCTGGATTTCATTCAAATATTATGTATGTGCCTCCATCCTATTAACAAGGCCTCATATATGTATAAAGGAAAAACCAAGGCAGGAAGTGAGCCCAAGAAGAACCAGGATACCCAGAGGATGGTACTACCTGGGAACAAACTAGACCCCTTTACAACTTGCATTTGTCCTGTCAAGCACTCACTGAGCAACTATTTAATATGAGATAACTGGCTTACCTTGCAGGACAAATATGCCTGAAGTCTACTGTGAGCCCCAGTGAGTGAGGTAATAAAGAACAGGACCCCAGTAACATTTTAAGCAAATTAGCTGGCCTCCCTACAGTCTGAGTACCAAAGAGACAAGGGATAGGCTGACTGGGAATTAACTACAAACTCTTGAGACTCTAGCTTATGTAAGTAAAACAAGCAAACAAGTTCTCATTCATGTCAGAGAACAGACAGATTTTTCCAGTGATCAAGAGTATAGCATAGAGAAATTAGGAGTATGTACTCCCCAAGCATAGTAAGAAATAACTGAATGGAGATCAGGGGAGGAAAGGAGTGGAGATGATACCAGATCTGTAAATTATTTGCACTTAATAGCAAGGTTTAGCTAGTCCCTGGCGCCTTCCTTCCCACATTCAGGTTGTGGCCAGATGGTTTCCCCAGTAGGCCATACAACTCTAGGAATATACATACAACTTGTTCTGTTCATTTACAGTAAGCAGCATTAACCCATGAGCTCAGCCTCAAGGGCAGACAAGATGTTAGAAGGAAAAACAATCTCAGGAAGAAACCCCATTATTTCTACCCCGGGCAATGGTAGTGATGTATTTACCAGGATGTTGATTCTACTCCTTTTTGTACTTTTCTAGCTCTGAGCTTCATCCAATTTGCAACAAATCTATTTTAAGGCAAGAAGTTGATGACATGACTCAAACTAGGGGTCAAAGAGTATCTTTGACAGAAGATGATGAACCCAATTATGGCAGAGGACTTGACTTGATGTACACTGAATTTGACTATGATTTGTGCAATGAAGTGGTTGATGTGACCTGCTCCCCTAAGCCAGATGCATTCAATCCATGTGAAGATATCATGGGGTACAACATCCTCAGAGTCTTGATATGGTTTATTAGCATTCTGGCCATCACTGGAAACATCCTAGTACTGGTGATACTGACTACCAGCCAATATAAACTCACAGTGCCCCGGTTCCTTATGTGCAATCTGGCCTTCGCTGATCTCTGCATTGGAATCTACTTGCTGCTCATAGCATCAGTTGATATCCACACCAAGAGCCAGTACCACAACTATGCCATTGACTGGCAAACGGGAGCAGGCTGTGATGCTGCTGGCTTTTTCACTGTCTTTGCCAGTGAGCTCTCAGTCTACACTCTGACAGCCATCACCTTGGAAAGGTGGCATACCATTACTCATGCCATGCAACTGGAGTGCAAAGTGCAGCTGCGCCACGCTGCCAGTGTCATGGTGATGGGGTGGATCTTTGCTTTGCAGCTGCTCTCTTTCCCATCTTTGGCATCAGCAGCTATATGAAGGTGAGCATCTGCCTCCCCATGGATATTGACAGACCTTTGTCACAGCTATATGTCATGGCTCTCCTTGTGCTCAACGTCCTGGCCTTTGTGGTCATCTGTTGTTGCTACACCCACATCTACGTCACGGTGAGGAATCCTAACATTGTATCTTCATCCAGTGACACCAAGATCGCCAAGCGTATGGCCACCCTCATCTTCACTGACTTCCTCTGCATGGCGCCCATTTCTTTCTTTGCCATTTCTGCCTCTCTCAAGGTGCCCCTCATCACTGTGTCCAAGGCAAAGATCCTCCTTGTCCTGTTCTACCCCATCAACTCCTGTGCCAACCCTTTCCTCTATGCCATCTTTACCAAGAGCTTTCGCAGGGATTTCTTTATTCTGCTGAGCAAATTTGGCTGTTATGAAACACAAGCCCAAATTTATAGGACAGAAACCTCATCCACTGCCCATAACTCCCATCCGAGGAATGGCCACTGCTCTTCAGCTCCCAGAGTCACCAATGGCTCCAGTTACATACTTGTCCCTCTAAGCCATTTAGCCCGGAGCTAAAATGCAATGAAGAAAAGGTATCTGAGTGATGAATGGCAATTAATTCTTCTCTTTGTAGAATAGGCCACAGAATAGCTGCAAGTATTTCTACATGTTTCATCTAATTAAATCTTCCTGGTTACCTGTAAGGTAAATTTGTCAGGAACTATTAATTTCATGTGACACATTAAGAAACTGAATTATTAATAACAATAATTAAAATAATACAATACTACATCATATTTGTTTTATGCTTTATAATATTTAAAGTGCTTTTGTTCAGATTATCTCAGAAGATTCTTATAAAATCTATTTAAAGAGGGAGGACAGGGATTATTCTTGAAGTTTTACAAATGAGGAAACCAAGATTCAAAGAGTATACTGATTTGTTTAAAATCATTTGGCTTGGCTGCGGCATGCCAAATCCTGTAATCTCACAGAATCACAAGTTCCAGTCCAGGCCAAATTATACAGCAAGATGCTGTCTGAAAAATCAAGCCAAAGAAGGAAGGAAAAGAAAGAGGAAGGGAGGGAGAGAGAAAGAGAGAGAGAGAGACAGAGACAGAGAATGTCTTGTAACAGGCAGCCAAGATCAGGTGTTCTGTCTCCCACAGAACTTCTAAGAGAAGCACCAATGTATTCATTCATTCACTCAACAAGTATTTATTGAGCACCTATGATAGATTTGTAATGAGTCAACTTAGAGAGGCTGAACAACAGTCTTCCCAGAATTCTCTTTCTCATGTGTTTCCAGCTAGGGTAGAACACAGAGGAAATTCTAGGGGAAATGGGAAGTTAGGAGAATGCAACAACCATTTTTTAGGTCAACATATTTTGTTGCTGATGCTTATTCAACTCAATGCTGTAAAGCAGCAGCTTGTCTACAATTGCTCCCTTTCCCCTGGATCCTTCAGATTCCTGGCCTCTGTGTGTGTGTGTGTGTGTGTGTGTGTGTGTGTGTGTGTGTGTGTGTATTTAGCTAGATGATGAAAGATAAAATGTTTGCAGGATACTTTTTACCACCAAGGTCAGAGGCAGCAAAAATAGAAATGAAGCTCAGTTTGTCTTCTTGGGGTTATACTATACTTGCAGCATGCTCATGACCTTCCCTTTATGACACCTGTCCTGAGTACTTTAAGCTCCAGGATCAGATTATGAAGACAGAATCCTTACAGAAACTCCTCAGCCAACCTCTCAACTGTGAAAGCCAATTCCCTGTAACAAACACTTACCACATACACACATTTACATACATACACATGCATGAATAACTCTGTTGCTCTTGTTGGACCATCATTAACAGAAAATACATTATATTACGATATGTATGTGCATTACACAATTAAAGATACAGAAGCTTTGGAATCAGACAGAGCTGAGATTTTATCCAGATTCCATAATAAACCAGGACTCAACCTACCCAGGCTCAGCTTCTTCCCCTATAAACAGAGTGGCTATATACCTTTTAGGCCATTGTAAGAAACAGAAAAGAAACTGGTTCTAAAGTGCCTAGTGCTATAACAGGATTGGTACATATTAGTTACTCCACCAGTGCATGGACTACTAACCAGCTCTCCTAACCCTCAGTCTAGAACTCATTCTATTACAGCATGTTGTTCCTGATAAATAACAATGCTACCTGCATCTATTCTCATAAATGACCCCATCTGAATAATCGGATCATAAATATTCACCATAAATTTTACCAGGCCAGCCCACAAAGCTCTGAGTCTCCTCTGAGTATCCTCTATTAATGTTGAAGCCAATCCTTCCTTCTCTTGCCCTTTGACAAATACTTCAGAAGTAATTAAGTAATTAGTAAAAAAGAAAAAAGTGTAAGATAGCACTAGAATCATACTATTTTGAATATATTGGGACAAAAATAATCCATTTAAAAATTAGTTTCACTTATTTCTTTTTTACATTATTAACATGACTTTTTGAAAACTTAAAAGTTCACATGTGGCTTGCATTACATTTGTTTTGGAGAGCAGTGATCTAAAGCTCTATGAAAACAAGGAGTTTTTACTTATCGTTTTCCTCCCTAGCCCCCACACACCAGTTTGGTACACTGTTGGGCTGTCTGAGCTCCATCTGCAGTCAATCTTCTGCCTTGTTTGTGGCCAGAGGCAATGTATTTCTGAATTTGGACTCAAAAGTAAGTAGAAGCTTAATTATAAATATGATTGAGTAGTAATTATCCCACCACATAGCTCCTAATGACAAATTGGTTTAAGAGATTGTGGCTCTGACAGCAAGACAATGTTCAGAGACAAATAAACAGCAGAGGCTCAAAAGACGTTCCTTCCATCACTCTGTCACTACAACGCTTCCTGGTAAAAGATGGGACAATTCTTAAATAAGCAAACATATTTCAGAATAGCTAAATTCAGTGCTTCTAAATCCTTTAGATGAGACTCAAGAGAAAGAATCACCTCCTACACTTCTTCTATTGGAATAAAGCCAGTTAGAATCCAGTATATCAATCCCTCTTCCCCAAGAATTATTATCCAGGTAACCCCTCTAAACCTGTGCCTTTAGAGAATTGGCTCAGACCCAGAGTAATGATCTAGATGGAAACATACACACACAATCAGAAGTTTCAAAACAGACTGGGGATGTGGCTCAGTGGTAGAGAACTTGCCTACCATGTAAAGGTCCTGGTAATCCCCAGTACTACAAAAAAAAAAAATTAAAGGAGTTTCAAAATAATACAAGTTTCTTTCTGTTTGGGTTTTTAAACTTTCATTTCAATTCTCAAACACTAATAGCTTCCAGAGATTTCTTAAAGTAACCATGTCTCTAGGGGTGATATATAAAGTATTAACACCTAGTACAGCCCAGGTACTGATCTCTCAAAATGGAATACTGTCTATGGCTCTTCCATTTGTCCATCCTGTTGAAAACTAGGTGAATGCAAGCCTTGTATCTTTCCTTCCTATCCTGACTTCACCTGGACTGATCTCATGTCTTCCAACATTAACCCCCTTAAACTCCTTCAGCCCCATGTTATCAGGCCTCTATTGCCTTCCTCTTCTCTCCCTTTCCTCCAGATATTCCCTTATTGAATGCCAAGAAACAGTGGGACATGGTAGGATCCATCTTGAAGGAGGTGGAACAAAGACATGGAATGGTTAAATCTTGAAGCTTTTAGGAGTCAAAGCAAAGAGGACAACTGGGTGCCTGCATTGATTTTTATCTTGTCACGTAAAAGATTGGGGTGGGGTATGGCACTGGAGAGTGTTATTTCACTATGGAGCACCATGTATTAAAATGGGGAACTCTTCAGACCTCATTTTTGGGAGGAATACACTGAGGCAGAGAGAAAGCCAGGGGAAACCTTACACCACCAAATGCTACAGCTTTACCACAAGTGGTACTGTGCTTCATTTAGGTCAGCACCACAAGGCAACAATCAAGAAAGATTGTTGAAAGTAATAGCCTCAAGCTTTGGTTCATAAAGTGTTTTGTTTTATTTTATTAGATTGTTTTAAAGGACAAGCAATGAATGAGCTTTCAGGTTCTTCAGAGGAAGGGGTATCAAGAGAATAAATAAATATATAGTGCTTTGCTTGTTTGTTTAAAATATAACCTAGTCTATTAAAAAAACTGAATAAGAGTCAGCACAAAATAAAATACAACCATGAGGTTGTGCTTGCTGGTTCTCATCAAAATGCTTTCAGCTACAAGAGCAGAACTTCACTGACACAATAAGGTGAGTTAAATAAAATGCTCATGGCTTAGATTGGAAATCTGATAACTTCAAGTACTAAAGACCTTTCCTTTCCTTTGTTCTACTGTCCTGGGAATGCCCAGCCACACCTTCCCTCTGGTAGCAAGGTTTCTGTAGCAGTTCCAGATGCCACATGCAGTCATGGTCAAATCCAGAAACAAAGAAGAAAGATTGCTACTTCCGCCCATCTCTCTTTGCAAAGAGAAGAAAGTTTCTCCTCAACAAACTTCAGAAAGCATTCCTTCCCAGCCATTATCCAATTTTGTTGCCCTGGCTGCAAAAGAGGTGGCAAAATGAGCCTCTGTCACATTTTGTCTCTGTAGTGCAGCACAGGGTCTTCCAGCCAGGAAAGTGGAAGGGGGCCTCGATTATGGGAAATGGTTAGATGGACAACCTCTTCCCCCAACGTAGCCAACCAAAATCTTCTCTCATGAGACAAAGCTAGTGGGATTAAGGTCAGGATATATATGGCACCTTCACAACTCTCACACTTCATGTCCTTCTTCTCTCCTGTCTCCCTCCACATACTACCTACAGTCCAGTTCTTCCTATTTTAATGTGTTCCAATGCTTCCTGGAACAAACCCAAGAAGCTACTTAGATCTGAAGGCAACCACTAGAGGCATACATTGCTCAGTAAATTCCCTGTTTGAGGCAAGGTGTAGAAAAGGAAAAAGGGAAAGAAAAGGACAGAAGAAGAGAAATGGGAGGAATAGAAATAAACTAGGAGAAGAAGGAGACATGAGAAGAAAGGAGGGAGAAGGAAAAGACAAATCAAAGAAAGGGGCAAGGTGGAAGGAAGCCAAGCCCTGAATATACTTTTGTGCTGGTACTTGTTCATCTTTGTCTTTAAAAAAACCCTTTCAATTTGTTACAAGAAAGTCAACACTGAAGGATTTCAGTCTTAGATCTCAGTAGAAAGGCCCGATGGTCACCATGATGATCCAGGTTTCCCAGGGCTATACATTCCATAGTGTGGGTCTCCAGATGTAAGTTAAAGGATAAGTAAGGAAAATATTTATGAAGGTCTTCAAAGTCTCCTCACCTCAGACATTAGATAATGTAAAGCTAGCTTGATCCTTTCCATGACCCAAGGTCTTCATCATACCCTATTCTCGCCAACAGCATTGGCCATAGTCCCCTGACTGTTCTGTTCTGGCATAGATGGGCTTCAAAAATGTACTAAATCTCAAAGTTTATAAGAGCACTCCATCTTTTCTTGTTTTCTTTACAACACAGTATCCCCTGAATCCTGAGACGTTTCTTATAAACACACAAAAGAGAAATAT